TACGCACACTAATGTTTGCCAGATACTAATGTTTGTGTCAGATACTAATGTTTGTGTCAGACTGATGTTTGCCACAGACACACGGATTAATGTGTGAACACGTGTGTGCAGGTGTGTCTGTAGTCACTTACGTGGGCTATTAAAGTGTTGTAGCATTGTAATCCGTTGTCGGACGCGTATATAGGATATCCGTTGTCACCTGACCACGTCGACTGGTCAGTGCACTACCCCTTTTACTTCACTGGCGAGCGTGGCAAAGCTCCGTTGCCGAACAGTGAGAAGGAGCCAGTGGTTTACGACCCGGATGTTCGGCCCTGCCAGTCGTTTACAGTGGATTTCATTGACATCGGATGCGGGTTTGGAGGGATGTGTTATGAATTGGCACGGCAGTATCCGGACAAGATTATTTTGGGTATGGAGATCCGTGATAAGGTGGCTACTTTTGTGAGCAAAAAGATACATGCCTATCGCCAACAACAGGTTGGTCAAAACTCAGTTGATGGTCAGTACTCAACCTATGAGAATTGCGCAGTGTTGCGAACTAATGCCATGAAGTTCCTGTCGAATTATCTCCGTAAGGGCTCTCTGGAGAAGGCATTTTTCTTGTTCCCTGATCCTCAATTCAAAAGGAATAAATGGAGGAGGCGCATCGTAACACCGCAGCTGTTATCGTTGTACGCCTACCACCTAAAGGAGACGGAAGGGAGGTTATATTTCGTTACTGATGTTCACGACCTGTTTGTATGGATAGAACACTCTTGTCAAAAGCATCCTCTATTCAAGAGAATACCGGAAGAGCAATGTCTTGACGACCCAGCATATACTGCCATGTTTAACACCACTGACGAATGCAAGAAAGCCATCCGCCTCAACCAGAAACTGTTTGGAGCCTGCTACCAAAGGCTGCCTAACACCCGATCATTATTAACACCCAATAATTCTTAAAATTCACCCAATCATCATTGCCACTCGACTCCAATATTAGACCACTACCGAGCCCGGTCCAAAAGGGATTATCAAAAAAGTTCTCTTCGCAACCAATTCTTTTCGCAACCAGTTCACCCACATAGAACCAACTCACCTACATACACCAGTTCACTACATACAACCAGGCCCAAATGACCGGCATTGCCCTATCGCAAAGTAGGCCACCTACACTATTCCCACCTACACCATTCCCACCTACACTATTCCCAACGTCCGCTTGGTACTAAGCGCCTGGTACTAACCAAGCTGCAGAGTCATCTGGCCAGCTATCTTTCACCTGGTTGCAGTTGACCCTGAGGTATTTGAACGGGCGGCCAAAGCCATTCGCGAAATCAATGATAGCAAAGATTCATCGAAGGCTTATGAGCTGGCTCTGGAGGTCGAAAGACGAAAAGCTGCTGATGCGGTGACTGAGAAAGCTAAACACAAACGAGACGAAGCTAAACTGCTGAAGGAAAGGCAGGCGACAGAGCTGGCCCAAGCTAAATTGGAGTTTGAGCAGGAAAGAAAGAGAGTTGAAATCCAACTGCGACGGCAACAAGAACTGGAAAGGTTCAAAGCGCAATTGGATTTAGAGAAAGCGCGACAGATAACCACCGAAATGAAAAAGCAAACGCGGGTGCGGCAGGAGGAAGAAAGGAGAAAATTGGCGGACGAAATTTTAGCAGAACGTCAGAAGGCCGAAATCAGGCGTCATAATGAGCAACAGATTCTGAAGGATCGTCAGAGTAATATTAAGAAGGAGCTCGAGTTACAAACAATTCTAGCCAAAGCCAAGGCGGCGGCAGAAGGGGATGCTGAGATTAAGAAAATTCGCGCTACGAAAGACATTCGATTTGAGGAGCTGTCTCTCAAAGCAAAGTTAGTTGCTAGTACATCGCTGGAACTAGGCCAAGCTCTTGGGTCAAAGATAGGGAAGACAGTAGGCAAATTAATCAACCTGTCCAGCGCAACGCTTAAGGACAGCCAGCAGCTGAGACGGCTTGGATATTGCCTTTTCGCAACTGTGATGATTACCAAAGGAACCACGACGTCGATCCGAATTCTTGAGCATGCGGCCGAACGTAGCCTCTTCGAAAATCATCTGCTCGTCCGACGAAGGCTGAATGCATCTCCGCAGATCGCCCCGACAATTATGAAGTCGGCGATGCGTCAGTTGATCCAACAGCAACAGCAGTCCCCCTGGGGCATGAACATATTATTGTACGGACCACCAGGGACCGGCAAGACGACGTTTGCTAAACAGTACGACAATCATGATTTGTGTGTGCACACAATTTTTGCGCGATTACATCGACGTTACCACGCCTGTTTTGTAACACCTCTTTTGCAGTCTGGCATTATGTTGTGGAAGAGACGTTCGTTTGACCAGTGGGGGAGGACTGGTGGCTGGTGGACAGAATGGAGTGAAGGAGTTGGAGAAGCTGTTGTCCTGGGCGCAACGCAGGAAGGCAGTGTTATTCATTGATGAAGCGGACGCGTTTCTTCAAGATCAGCAGGTGTCTGATGCTTCTGGCGGTATGCAGAACTCTGAACAGTTACGGGGGACCTTGAGCATGTTTTTGGAACGTACGGGAGACTCAGACCAAAGGTTTCTGGTTGTGCTTGCTACCAATCGCCCGGAACTCCTTCCAAAAGCTATTCAAGACCGAGTTGATGTCCGAATTCCATTTGTTCTACCGGATGCCGAGGAGCGTGCTAAAATCCTCCACTTCTATCTGCATAAATACCTGGCGGAATTACAGGCGTGGCAGCGAAAACAAATACCCACCGATAATAGATTTGGCTTCAGCTGGCGCTTGCCCAAATTGGTATTTCCGCAAACCATTACTCAAAATCTCCCCAATGCAATTCCTGTTACCAATTCTACTAATGAAGGAAGGAGTGTGATGGGTGATGCACCCAAAAATCAGGGTCCGGGAGAGATATTCCGGATGGATATAAACAAGTTGGTGTCTCAGACTGAGGGATGGTCCGGGCGTCAGATTGAGAAGTTTTGTCGGAATTATTGGTTGTCATTTTTTAGTTCAGCGAAGGGGGAAGTGGATGACTGCTCATTCGATAAGACGGTGGATGAAGACTCCTTTGAGAGGGAATTTGATACGACAGATGGCAAGATGTTTGGTCTAGTGAGCACATTGTAGCGTGATGCCACCATGGCTTCAATGTCATGGCTTCAATGTCATGGCTTCAATGTCATGGCTTCAATGTCATGGCTTCAATGTCATGGCTTCAATGTCATGGCTTCAATGTCATGGCTTCGGTGTCAAGGGTGTCTAAGTTGGCACCAGGAAGAGTGTGACGCGGATAAGAAGCAGTTTCTGTGCCCAGGGAGGGTGCAATAAAGTCGAGGTGCACCCAGTCTATGATGAACTATGGTTCCCCTGGAGGGGGCGTGGGGCCGGACGGCGTGCCCGCAGGAGCAATTCCTGTGGGGGGATTGCCGCAGCCGCTAAGTCAGGTGTTTGATCCACCTGGGCATGTTATGGAGTGGCTGTTTGTTACGCCCTGGGATCCCAATTTTCTGATAAGTTGTTGGCAGACGAGAGTGCGTCCTGATTTCCGTCCAAATGCGTTGAATGATTATGTTCCTTTTGTCTTGCGCCGTAACGACTACCCGGACTTCCGCCATATGGAGATCTCGGCCTATTTCAATCAGCCGGATTTGTACCCGCAGGGCTCGCTATGGACGAGTGAGATGGTCCGACACATGCTGCCGGAGACGGAGAAGCCCCGCGTGCGCCGAGACCCATTCCTGTATTTCTATGTGCCGTACATGTGTCCGTACCGGCACAACTGTCCGAACATCTTTTGCGTCTTGGCACATACGACTGCGGAGTGCAGCTGTCACCCGTTGTTGTACAAGACGCAGCCATGCGACCCGCGGAAGGCGCGGCACACAGATCCCGACCGGGACTCGGAGGGGTCTCCGACACGTCGCGGAAAGGGCAAGGGCCACCCTAGCGCTACGGGCGACGAGGCGGTCGACGCCTGCACCTACCTGCACGACATGGACGACCGGAGCCTGTTCGGAAACTGGTGCTATTTGTGGGAGTTGCACTGGCTTGGATGGCGCCGATTCGGCCCGACACTGTACCGCTACCTATGCGAGATGGACCCGAGTCGCCGATTCCCTTTCTCACTGCGCGACCTCGTGTACACCATGCTGCAGACCTACGGCCCTTTCATGTCACCGCACCAGCGCGACCATGTGACCATTCTATACGGCGACCTCAAGACTTACGCGCGTGACCCGGGCCGGCCGAAGTGTCCATTCGAGACACGGATCAACAATCAGCCATTGAACCCGCTTAATCTGGACGACGCGCTCCTGAGTCAGTTGGACGTATTCCGAGACACCTTCAAGGAGTACGTCATCCCTCAAGGGTTTTCCTACGCTACGCCTGTCGACCTTCTCGGCGCCGAGCTAGCCGGTAGCGCACCCCTCATGTCCGCCTCGGCGGCCCCCATACCCACAGTGTCCGTGGCTAATACGGGGGCGATGTCTAACGCCATGGGAATGAGTAGCTCTGCCCCCATGCTGGACAGCTTCGTGCCGCCGCCTCCGCCGCCGCCGCCGCCACCCAGTTCCTTTCCGCTGATCATCTTGATGGAGGAAAATGCGCGTCTGTGCTGGCTCTTCCAGCGGCAAATCTTGAGCCGCTTTAAGGAGAACATCCCTCTCCTCGACCGCCGGACCAACAACTTAATCGCGGCGCCGCAACTCGTCCTCGGTGCCGGCGTCCTGCACGACCCGGCGCTGCACTACAAGCTGCCCACGCGTCTCCGCAACGCCGGCTTCCGGGCGGGCGGACCGGGTGGAGACCGAGGCGCCGCCCAGGTCGGCCAGGCCGGCCAAGGCGAGGCCGCCAAGCAGCGCAGTCGCGAGCCGTCACAGTCGCCAGCCGCCTTCGATCCGCCGACCTTCGGC